GGCGGCCTCTCCTCAACTCAGTCAACCTCGGACAATCATCTGCACGTTAAACCTCAAAGCCAGCTCAGCTCCACTCATCACACGGGACAAAACGCTTGACTTCCAGTGTTAGGCCCACGTCAGGCAGCACAGACAGTTTCTTAACAGGGGCAATCATAGTTTTCTTATATCCCTTCCTTTCCTGCCATTTCTGTACCCAGACTGCAGCTGTGTGGCCAGATTATCTTAAGAAAAAGCCCTCAGTGCAGGATTACACTTTGTCCTAATTCATTAGCATGCAGAAAATGCAGCAAAATCAAAACCTCACTCCTCAAAGTCGCTGTGGACATGGCAGCAGTAATGCTAGCAGAGGTTTTGTGTGCAGAGTCCTTCATCGCTTTTGGTAATACAGATGGAATAACACTGCACGATCAAAAAAAAAAAAAAGTTGGAGAGTAGAGGAAAATTTTAAATAGAAAGCAATCCTCACTGTGCACGCAGACACCACATTTTGGTTGTATTTTTATTTAAGAAGGACTTTTAATTGAGTTGGCTCACACCAGCTCCCGTGTTCGCTCAGGGCATGGGCTCGTGGCCACCCCCGCTGCGGCGCCGGCCCTTCGCCCAACACGGGCTGAACAACCTCCCCGGATTAAGCTCTTACGTTAGGCACCTCTGAAGTGTCTAAAGTTAGGCTGGATGAACGCAAGCCAAGCTGTTGAACAGATGGAGTGAAATCCTCCTCTTGGTAACAGGAACTTTATATCACTGCCGTGGATAAGAAGGGCAGCTAAAAAAAGTCAGGGAGGTGGTTACATAAATTTCAAGAAGGCTTACCAGCAATGCTTAAAGGTAAAACTTGCCCATAGATCCTGAATCTGCACATCCCACTGCAGACCTTGAGCAGCCAAGAAGTTCTGCAACAAAAACGCAATCGTAACACCAGACCACAGGAACTCGGTAACACAGCACAAGCACGCGAAGCATTAGGAAGCTGGAGCCTGGAGCAAGAAACTTAAATCCCAGCATCAGCAGAGTGATGCTGATCTTCACTCCAGTGCACAAAACCAGCCAGGAGGCGTACGTGATTGAACACCAGCAAATAACTAACCGTCTTATTAATGCCAGAAATGCTACGCAATACATTCATTCCTTTTCGCTTACAGGTTTGTAAAATACTTATGCTTATAGCAGCTCTGACTTAATGTCATCTTTTTTTTTTTTTACACCTTATTCATAGTCGAATACCTGCAAATTCATCTTAAGAAAGACCTGCTTCCTTGAAATACTTACGCTTATAGCAGCTCTGACTTAATGTAATCTTTTTTTTTTTTACACCTTATTCATAGTCGAATACCTGCAAATTCATCTTAAGAAAGACCTGCTTCCTTGTGTTTCACACGTAATTGTGCTTCAAAAGATGTATGTCTCGGCAGACGACCCATTCTTATTAATTAGCTCTGGATATTTTACATGGAGTCAGATGTGAAATACATTGGTAATATTTGGTTTTGGACATCAAAATCCTTCAGATAGATATCTGAAAACTGGCTATATCTGGAAACTGGCTATGAAATGTCTTGTAGAAAACGCTGTAAAGCAATTAGTTCCTCGCTCTGCATGTTCCATGTCCATGCTAAAATGGGGAAAATATGCTGCATGCAATTTTGAGGTCATGTTTATTTGGAGAGTCAAAGAGGTCTGATCAACGAAGCAACTTGTCCCTTCCCTTCAAGTACCTCATTTTTGAAGGAAAGAGGAAAGTACACTATTACACTATTTCCCAGTCCCTTTGGGAAGACAAATGGATGAAGTGCTCTGGGCTTGAGTTGTTTCTTCCTCTCCCCTGTTTACCTTCAGGCTTTTTCCAAACATTTTCATTATGGAGAAATTGCAAAGGTGAAGTAACCAGGGGATGCCCTTCTGTGAAAGACTACGCACCACCTGCTAGCGCCGTTCTCTTAAAGCAAAGGTATGGTTAGAAAAATGACAGCACGGCAACAGCCTCCTAGAGCAGGGCTGCTTTCCGAGTCACCTTTAGTCATTTTGGGGACAAAAAGTACATTTTTACCCCTTGTTATCTCTGCAGAACACACCCAGCTAGGGCAGCCAGCGCTGCACTGTGAGCCAATTAGTGGAGTCATCCAGTGGCACCGCTAAACCCTGTGCTCAGCTACGACTAGAAAATCCTAGTGAAGATGACGTGAACAACACTTGACCCCCAAGAATTTGTTACTGATGATGATAAGCAGAGCTGGCCTACGTTTATTTTGCAGATCCAAGCAGAATTTCGAGGGCCGTGGGAAAAAAATGTCCTAAATTGGACATATTTGAGAAATACTGAGTCACAAGCCTCAAGCTGCACAAGGTCATTTTTGCAGCTTCTTTTTTTTCAAAGCAAACCCTAGATTTTATTACATAAAGCAGCGTTGGCACCACTTAAGAATATGCAGTCTTTTTTAGCAAAGCCCTTTGCGGCGTGACTACAGTTTCGGTCCTAGAGAAGCTTGCAGATGCTACTGCTTCTACTTTAAGAAGAGAAGTAGTTTTATGTGGCAAAATATTTAATTCGTTTCCTGTTAAAATGAAATGAAACAACAAAGTAGTTATACAATTTTACTAGTTTATATTTCAATTCATAAAGTATACACACTGCAACTATGCTACCACAATGTCCACGCATCTAATATTGATGGAGTTACAGTATATTTTTTTGGTATTAAACAATAGAGATAATGTATGCAGTTAAGGAAAAAAGCTTGGACATAGCATGTTCTAGTCTGTAGTTACAGAGTACATTAGCTAGCATTAGTACAGTAAACAAGAAAAAGGTAGAAATACAAAATAAACCAAATATCTTTATATACAAACCAGTGCCTCTTATTGTTACCAGCTTATACTCACACTGCACACAAAATTTATCCACTGATGCAATAGATACTTCAGCATAACACAAACCATTATAAATTAAAAAAATTACAAGGTGCATAACTCCATTCTACAGCTTTCTGGTGAGAACTCAAGACAATCCAATGCGTAAGAAATCCAAGCACGTTTAGCACCTATTAGTGCAACTGCAGCGAGCGTGAAAAATGACCTACACAACCTCTGAACGTGTTACCAGGGAAGCGAGTTGGATAGCTATAGATGCTCGCAGCTACACTCACGCAGTGATTTCTGCCTCATATATATCTCAGTTTATTGTTTCTTTGTCCCATTCATACCTATGTGCAAAACTAAATCCTGGAAGCTTTCTCAGAGCTTCACAGAAGGCCTGCTACAGCCGGGTAAAACCAAACAAACACAAACAAAACAAAAAAACTGACAGAAAAACAAACGAGAAGACTCAGTTAAATGTCAGACCATCCACATAATTAGTACTTTTTAGCAGTCCTGGTGCTGGGGGTTTTAACGCCGTTGATATGTGGATCAAACAATATGACACAGAAGTGAAACGGAAATTTGCCAAGAATTCTGATTATTGTCTAGCACTTAGACAAGTCGCCCAGCCTCAGGTTGTGAATTTGTTTGGCAGCCCGTGCCAAAAAAGCCCGGATTGCATAGAATTGATTAGTAACAGAAAGAAATGCCAAACACAGAGAGATGGATGCTGCATCTACTAAAACAAAGCGGGGTTGCTCGACAGGAATGCTGAAATCATCCCCATTCATAAAGCAAAACATGTCACCTCCTACTCTCCATATCCTACCTCTGGGGAATGCTTTCTGGCACTGATGTAGTTCTTGCTAAAGTCATCTTTTTCGTTGTTTGGTTTTTTCCTTTTTCTTTTTTTTTTTTCCTTTTTTGTTTTCTTTGTTAGTGACGCTTTTCCTTTCAAATAAAATATTAAAAAAGGTTATAACTGTAAAAAAACCTATCATATGTAAACTTAACAGTTAGGGCTTGGTAAGTTCTCGTACCTAGTCTGTGAAAAGCCTCCAGCCAGACCGCAGAATGGAGTGTTTCTCTGAAGAGCTTCAATCTAGCTACATCACCTGTTAAATATCAGTAGTATGAAGATCCCATGTCTAGCAATAAAACCTTTCTTGTGTTTCCATCCTCTTTGTCACTGACCTATTGAAATCCTGACATGCTGTGTTTCTATTTTATTTACATTCTGGTCCTCTCATGTCACAGAGTTAAACATCTGGCCAAGGAAGGCAACAAAAGGTGTTGTGTTACGAAGGTGTGTTTGACAGAACTGCTTTTCAACAAGTCTCTTTTCCTTGGACTCCAGTCACTGTTTTTATAGAGCTTATTGTTCTGTTGAACCATGTTTTCTTTGCAGCTTGTACTTCATTCAATGCCAGACCCAAATGGTGCTCCAAATCCTGCAAACGGACGAGTAATTTCATTAATTTGTTATGCATTCACAGCACAAGGTTACACGAGTTAAACTTAGAAGGCTCTAGGACATCTACAATCTCTTGGCCACTTTAGAAGTCAAACGAGTCTTACATAAAATAAAAGCAGCACAGCAAGCTGATGAAGAGAAAAAAATAAAAGCTTTGAAATGCAAAACAAGACTTGTGTCATTGCCCTTAGTGATACTTTCAGCTTTCTCCAGTGCGTCCATACCCTTTAATGCTTCCCCATCTGACGAGGAGCTATTCCCACGGGAAGCGGACCTTTTACAAACTAATTTTTACCTTTCTGGGAACAAGCAGCACTGACACACCAGTTTTAGGCTCAAAGAATAATACTGTCATATTTTACACAACTACCTGAAAAACCTGCAGTGCTTTCCAATCGTGTTTTAAGAAACATGTCTAACATTTGTCACGTTACTTCTTCATTTAACATTGATTGTTGAGATAAAGAAATGCATGATTCAGTACTTTGTCAGAGCTTGGATTTCTTCCAAGAAGTTGCAGAAGATCAGTCAGAAGAACTGCACTGCAGCCAGGCAGATGTCTGGAAGTTGTAGTAGCTGGTAAATACAGTTCATGCAATTTAAATTATTTTGTCTGCATACACTAAAGTTTCAGCCCCAATGTTTGGTTAAATAACCCATGCAGGAAATAGCAGGTTACAGCTTCAACCAACAGGATCTGTTCCAATCCCTCCACAACACGCACATTTTTCTAGGAACGCAGATGTACCACACAGGCTACAAAACGAACCTCCAAGACGTTACCTGTATTTTACATTCCGCCTCCACAAGCTGCAACTTGGTCTGGGCCAGCTCAAGCTCCATTTCCCTCAGCTGGTTTTTCAGCGTTTCCTTCTCCTCATCCGTGTCCTCGTCTGAACCATCCTTGGCAGAACTAGCAACCTTCACACGGCCTTCTTTATTGAAGAACTCCCGGCAATGCTCACAGTCATCCACTTTTTGCTAAAGTAAACACCTGATTGTGAATACTTGCATCGAAGTGCTGGGGATATGATCAAAGCCTTTTCCTGCCTCTGCTCTGGAAGAGCAGCACAACACGAGAGGGACCACTAATGACTTGCAAACTCAGGAATTTCTGCAGAAGCACAGCCAACCAAGAACTCCAGCCGCCCCTAGACTGATGGGCTCTGGACAACACTGCCGTGTTTTTGGTGAAACGGTATTGCTGAGATAAAGCACGGTACTGCCTGCACGTTACTTTATGGTGAAAGACAGTCAGGGAATCCCCAGAATAAAAAGAACCCTCAAAACCATTAACAGATATTATGGCTCGGCATCAATACTGGGATGTAACCAACATAGCACTGGCGAGAGCTCACATTCTGCTCCGAGATCTCCCCTTTACAATCTTCTTTCCAGAACTGTAAGTCCCTAAGGAACTCTCTTTCAGCCACCATTTAAATAATGAAATAAATTGTGTGATTGCTGTTCTGATTTTGCTAAGAGATTTAAACATTGTAGACTCTGGGTCTATTTGGTCTCTTACCCGTATTTTCTCAATTTCAGCTTTATTCGCCGTTTGTTGCTTTTCCAGTCGCTCACTCAGCTGGGAACAAATCTGGCAAGCAAAATTACATTACTAGACTATTCATAAAAGGTAAATTTCCTCCCAAATGAATGCTAAAGCACAAATAAATGCTACAGGAATATTAACATGGGTAGTCTGAGAGCTTCTGCTCTAGCAGAGGGGTTAGACTAGATGATCTTTCAAGGTCCCTTCCAACCCCAACCATTCTGTGATTCTCAGAAATCCAGGAAAATTGGGATGCTGGAACAAGTTGTTTCATCAAACATATCTTCTACATGTTCTTCTATGGTCACAGGAAAAGGTGCAGTTTCCACAGAAATTATTAGCCCTTTGGCTTTGCTAAATGAGCCAGTAAAGGTGAGGAATAACATGGCTCTGTTTATCGCCTTTGGGATAAAAGAAGCAGGCAAGACAACCAGAGTAAAAAAAAAAACCCCAAAACCAGTTCATTCCTCAAGACCTGTGTGATGCAGACTTAAAAATATTTTTAGGATTATGGCCCCACTAAAATGATACATGAATTTGATTCCTTCCAAAGTAAAATCTTTGAAAGCAAAAAGGCATTTTTTTTATTTCTTAATTTGATTGAAGAAGGGAAGCTGGGAGAGAAGATTTTTTTGGAACGAGGTGAACCTTTGATACACGAGAGCCCATCAGAACAATCTCAGGCTGTAACCGAGGCTGCAGTGATCGATGACCTACAAATACCTACATTAGGGGCAAACAGAACTGACCACCAAACATGAGGATCTCAGCAAAAGAAAATGCAAAACCAACCACAGGCTTCCTATTTAAAACAGGTAAAGTGACTCTCCAAATGCATGGCACAGAGTACACCAATTTCCAGAAATCTCTTAAAGTATCTGAGAAGGTCTTGCAATTTGATAGCAAATCCCATCCTCATGAAGTTGTACTTACCTGTTTGTAGTCACCAATAATAGAGCTGTTCTTTCTGATCTCTGACTCTGCCTTATCTAGTTCTCTACGACACATTTCCTTCAGCTGCAGAAAAAAATAAAAGTAAAGAGTTTATATACTTGTACAGTATGAAAAATAAGCAGGTGGTATTTCCTCCTTCTCCTTAACCTCATCGCTATATAATACCCGGGGCAGCAATGGTCTAGCTAAGCTCCATGCAGACAAGGAAGAGCTGGGTTTTGGTGGCCATCATTGTTAAAAAGACTGACTCGCTAAGAGAATAAAGTATTAAAAAACAGAAGTCCTGACAGCTGAAGTCCTGTACTGCCTCTCTGTGCAGCAATCTCTGGTACAGTCTGTGCCTTTGTGATTTCGAGTTAAAAATTCACTACCCTGTGAAGCACCTGGCAGGCAAGGGAAGAATCCTGCTTTGCTGACGTCCTTTACACTACAGAAGAGAGACAAACATGACTTAGAACATTAAGCCCTTCCCACACTTGTCACTTTTTTTCCCTCCCCCCAAAAAAATAAATTCTGTACTGCACAGAAATGTGAAAATGACAGAAATGCCCCTAACCTGAGCTGATTCTTCTTCCAGGCGCCTCTTTTCTTCTTCTGCATCAATCAGCTTCTGTTTGGTCATTAGCAGTTCCTTATTCAGAGCATCTGCCTTCTCCTCTGCCTGGAACACAGCGCGGAGCACAGCACTGAGCAGAGGCTTTCCTGCTGTGCCGATGCCGCTGGGCAGCCACGGGCACGGGCTCCAGCAGGACACAGCCAAGCTTGTCGTCTCTTCATTCTTATTAATAAGAGTCTGATCATTGTTACTCAGAACAATAAAACTCTATTCTGAAATCTGTTTCTCTATAAATCCACTATCTGCAACGGCAAAACAGCATCTGAATTATCAAAGTATACTACTACATCACTCCAAAACTCCTCCTTGTTCTCAATGGTTAGTAGGGATTGCTCCAAAGAAATCCAGTAATGAAAGTAAATTTTGGTTTTTTCATCCAGGCTGGAAGCTGACCAGTACATTTTAAGGACAACAAAAGGCACAAAACAGCTCATGTCATGCAAAATTGATAAATACCTGTGATCTGGCTTGCAAACATTCAACCTTGCAGTGAAAACAGAATTAATGGAAAATGCCCCTTGAACATGAAAAACCCCAGAACTCTGACACCTACCACTGGATGGGATACGTCTTTATTATGTCGCCCAGAAAACATTGCTTGAAAAAAACTTATCTGCCAAAGCAAACGTAGGAGTCAGACCCCTCTTTCCTTTCCTCCTTAAAGAGAGGTCCCACCAGAAACCATGCAACCTTTTTTTTACTGCACTTTTTTAGAAATAAAGATGTATTGATCAAAAAATCTCGGGTTCTTCATAAACTGCTAAAACCCCCCCTCTGCAAAGTTAAGACAGTTTTCCCTGTCTCATACACAGCAACGCAGTACCTCCCAATAGGTGTACGAATTCTACATAAAAATAGATCAATAACTCAACTGATACATCAAATCTTCAGAAAGCAGCTGCACCAATTCCCTTCAAAGGAAGAAAATCAAAAAGTGAATTTTAGTCCCTTAAAGTCCTGCTGATCCTTTAAAACAGATGGCAAAGGCAAAGAGAACGTCTTTTCATTATACCTGGTTTTTAAGCTGTTTTAAAGTTAAAGACGACTGGCATGTGGGAGTCCAACAACAGTAGAAAAATGAAGCCTATTTTGTGGTCTAGTGCAAAGGATATTAAGGAAGTTCTTGTATTTCTAAATGCTTTGCTTTGATCTTTTAGGTTGCAAATTTCAGACATGCCATGAAAGTATTAGAAAAGGTGCGTTAAACAATGTCCTTTGGTACTTTCCTTTCAGGACATCTGGCTAGCAGAATGAAACTCAGCATTTCAAGTTCCAATTAGAAAAATTAATGAGGGTCCTAACGGAGGATCAGATCTACCCATCTCCTCCTGGGGGATAACCCAAATGCTGCCAACATCCTTTACCGCCTTTGAGGGCATGACTATTATATAGCCAATGAGGTATCTCAAAGATTTTGCTTAATTTTGCTCCTCGCACAGCTCTCCATTTGAAAGAACCAAAGCAGAAGCGTAACTGTGTCTCACACGGGCTAAAGCAGCCACAAACAAGAGTTAACAGCTGATACAAAAAGCTTCCTCAGTACATTTTTTGCCGGAGTCCACCCCCCGAAGGCAGCCGCTGGGCAGTCTGCAGAGCCTTCTCTGAGCTGTCTTTTTTTTTTTAGTGCAAAAGCACAGGCACCAGCAGTGACCATACCGATGCACTGTGAAAACCCTGCTTCTAGAACATACTTCTACAATTCACAGATTTTAACACGAAGGAGCAGTCGATGTAATAAACCTGAAAGTCATAAACCAAACAACGTTCACGCATTAGCATCAACATTTCCTATGAATATTTTTCCAGCAGCGAGCTTCCAGGAGACCGTGGGAAACCTTAAATTCTCTGAAGCAGATAAGCTGAAACATTTTGAAGCCTGTCAACTCCTGCACTGTATGATTTTTAAAAGACATTTTCCTTTGAGATTTTAGAAATGCATTTATCTTGGTACAGAACAAGAATGGCAAAACATGAGCACTCGAACTCTTCCCCTCATCTCCCCAAGCAGTTAAACTAATTGCATTCTAGCCTGCCGCGTGCACTACAAACACCAGTCTCTTTCTGTCTTTGCACATCCTGTAAAAGAAAAGCATTTCCTAATAAAATCTCCTGAGTGTGAGTATGTAAAAAAGGGAATGGGACATGAAGCTTAACAAAAATAATCCTATAAAACAAAGCAAACTCAATGTTTTCTCCCGAGAGTTCTACCGATATGGGTAACAACTCTGGATGACGAGTTCTTATGGGCAGATTTCAACAAGCCAAATGGAAACCACAATAACATTTTCAGAGCTGCCTAAGGTACCTGAGAATCTGATTCCACTGAGAGCCAGACAGACTCAGACTCTCAGGTTTATTAAGCACTTTGCAAGAGCCTGTCTGCGGTGAAATCTTATTCATAAGAATACCAGTTGAAGGAAAACAGAATACAGCATCTGTGTTATTATCTCCGTGACAATTCAAAGACTTGACTTAGCTCCTGCCAGACTTTCTTTTAATATACACGGAGAAGAAAGCAACTACTCAAGCACAGGCTCAGAACCTCTCCTCGCCCTCAAATTACTCTGAATGCTTTTCAGAGTAATTAGTATTTCAGTGACTGGTCTTGTTTCCAGCAGACCGCTGACACAGGCCTATATATCATCAGTCTGCAATAAGGACATGGAAGAAAGAATCCTATCCCACCCAAACACAAAATACTCTCTGTATCAACTTCTCCAACGAGAGGAGTAATGAGGAATGAGCCCTAGTACCTTGTCTCCACTAGACAGCCTAAAGACATGTCTTACATTGTCTAAATCTTTTCGCAGAGCTATCTTGCTGGTCACCAACTCGTGTGCGAGATCATCATTTTCTTGCTCAAGCCTCATGTTTGCTTCTTGCAGGCGCCGGTTCTCGCGCTGTGGAAAACAAAACAAAAGAAATCAAGAAAAACGTCTTCCCAGGTGTTTGCTTATAAATCACAAAGTTTACTGTGACTAAGCACAAACTCTGTATCTTAAGTGTACAAAGACAACTCTACCTGCATGAAAACAAACCTAGCTAGCCATACTGTAAATATAAAGTAAATAAAATATTAGCCTTGAGAAGAAACCACATATAAGTAACTTGCTCAGCTATTTCTTGTTGAGCTACAGAAACGGTTTTTTAAGACTGCAATAGTAGGGGTATCGTTCTGCCATCAATACCTTGTCAGGAGGTTCCTACAAGTACTGATTTTCTTGGCTCAAAATAGAATTTGCATGGTGGAAACAGGCAAGAGAGGAGGATCCTGGGAAAATCACTCTTATCTTCTCCCTCTTGTTACAACTCCGAGCACACAAACAGGTATTAAGGAAAGTTTACATAAAGCTCTTCAGATTAAAATACGTACATTTATGTATGTATGTCTATGTTACTGTGTTATGTATATGCATAAATATTTTTACATATAAAATTCATTCCCATATTATATTTATTTGACAAATAAAATATTTATAAAATACGTCAGTATACATAATTCATATTAAGGAGAGGAGCGAAGGCAGGATTAGAATCAACGGAAGGCAGAGTTACCATCAGCTGGGCATCTTCTTTCTGTTCATGGCTTTTGGTGCGATCGATATGGTGCACAAGCACTAGAAACGGGCTCTAGTGAAGCAGTTTTATAAGCCCAAATATAAATTCATACTATTCCTTTTGTCATTGTGAAGCTGGGCTCACAACAACCCCTTCCTGCTTAACACCGCCCATAAAGAGATTCACTTTTTCCTCTGGTTTATCCAAATTATTCACAACATAAAAACAACTCAAAGAAAAAGGAGTCGAAACAGGAACCTCCTGCAAGTACTATGTGTTCAGTCAGGCCGGAGCAGGTAAGCGTTACCTCAAATCTTTCTATCGGATCCTCCTGTTGAGCTTGCTGCTCTCTCATGGTGTGATACTCCTTCTCATATTTCTTCAGCTTCTTCTGGCTAATCTAAATTAAAGCAGCCCATTAGTTCCTGCCCAGAACATCAATAAAAGAACACAATTCACAAAGGGTTCTGGTATAAGCTTTAGGCAACTCCTGCCTTCTATAAAACACAGCTCATATCTTCACTCAGTTTTGAGTATCAAACCCTTAAAGACGGTTAAAAATTCTATTCCACTTTTATCCTTTTGTGGAACACGGAAAACTTTTTGAAAGGCACCCACAGGAGCATCCTGCCCGAGTTTCCTTGGTGCTGTGCAGTTATTTGATGCTGCAAACACTGTGCTGGCTTAGCGTAACAGACTGCCCCGAAACCCACAAGACGTGTTTACTTTTTGAACTAGCACGATGCTGAGCTTTTTCCAGATGCTTTTTCAGCCGTAACATTTATCGTCACGCAGAAGCGTTTGGTTTACATGAGACTGCAAACGCCGAAAGGGCAAGTGCAGGCTCAGCTGACATTTCTGCTAGTGTCACTCAAGCTCAGCAGAAAACAGCCCAGCCCAGAGGTGCCGAAGTGTCTCAGCAAGCAGCAGCAACCCGGCCGCAAGGACACTCTGTCCCCTGCTGCTCCAGGATTCAGAAGGCTGGAATTCCGTCCTCGGCTCTGACAGACCCACAGCACTACAAAACTGACTCTCTCGGGGTCCCCGTTTCCCCTTTTGTGAGAAGGGAGAGAAAGGTGCTGTGAAATTCAGTATTTTGTGCGCAGTGTTCAAGCCCTACAGGGACAGAGAAGGCAAGAGAACCTGTAACGGATCCCGACCAGCATCTCTCCTGGGGTCACCTGCCAGCCGGGCCATACGTTACAGTGCTTCAGCCACACAGACCACGCCAAGACCACTGCAAGCGTTTCACATGCAAGTTAACATGCGTCTACATTGAATTTCTATTATTAAAAGTTGCTGCTGAGCCTTTATTATTATTTCAGTAAACTAAATAAATTAAAAAACTACGGCTATGTTTTCCTCTTTAAAAAAGCCTTGTCTGAGAAACATGTTAAACAAATTTTACATGCATAAATGACAGGCAGAATGGAAAACATGTTTAGTGTCTCTTATCTCTGGTTTTATCATTAACAATCATACTTGAAATAACTGTAGAAAACTGGTAGCTAGGCTCCCTCTAGCGAGAGCTGCACAGAAACATCTCACCGTACTTGAGCTGACTTTTTTTTGGAGATGCCAGCCCATTTGTCTGGAGTCGGTCCAGCCCCATCACAACTGCAGAAGTTATTCTTACTAAGCACGCCAGACAAACACCCGGAGCATTAACCCTTTGCTGACAATGAAGCCAGTCACTTTCGTAAATTATTTCACTGCTCTGCCTCTGCCCAGTTCATTGGGTCTCACACACCACATCTCGAGCTGTGTAAAGGTCAGATCTTGAGACGCAAGGCATCCGGCAACATGAGAAGGAAGGAAGGCAAGCACACACTTGTATTTTCACCTTCTATTTTTCCAAGTGCATTAAACCAGTTTTGCCTTTGGATACCGCTACTGAGGTGATCCTAAGAAGATCTGCTATTGTCACGGATTCCATACACCAGAGCCTGAGAGGGGACTGTGCCCTGGGGAGGTCAGGAAGCCTTTGGGGTTGGTGGCAACAGAAAGCAGACATGAACACTTAAGTACCACCACAGTTTTTCAGGAGCACAGGAGGCAGCAGCAACCCAGTTAACATTTGACAGCAACATTGAGGAGTGACTTGAAGAATCTAGAGTTGTCTCAAGCTGATCATTTACTGACCTCCTTTCCAGCAGAATGCTGCTGTAATCACAATGCCTTACCCAGGCTACTTCTCCCTTCCTATAAATGATTTATTTTGACATCAGGCCCTTTTCTGCTCAAAAACACTTCCAGATACAGAGCCGGAGATTTCTGCTGACAGCAAAGGACTTCTATTTTAGGTTAAAGAAAGCAATTATGTGCAGTGCTCCCATCAGGGGCAACACACATGGACGTGATACAGAAGCGTTCAGCATCTTTAAAGAGCCCGGCAGCGCAGCCTGTACTTTCTCCACAACCTCCATTTAATCCTCCCGAAAAAAGACAGCCCTCAAGGAAGCGGCGGACAGCCTTCCGCAGGGCTCAGAGAAAGCTGTTTGCTTTAATGATGTCCCACAGCAGGGGGAACGCAGGGAATTTTAGCAGAGCAGCAAGAGGAACAAGTTTTTCGGAAACACAAAAGGCAAACGCACTCGTTACACACAGCCTTAACCAGACGCACGTGCAGCGTCTAATCTGTGGCTGATGTTAAACAATTGGAGAGCTATTCTGATTATTCGGTAATTCCTACACTAGTTTCATGTAAGCTGTGTGGAATCCTGTAAGCATACTGCTGCTGCATCAGGAGTGCAAGACTCCTTGAACGTGAATGTACTCAGGCAGTTGCATACTTACACTACAAAGAATTCCTCTCACGAGTTTTAAGGGAAAGGGATATTTTAACCGTATCAGCGTAGTTAACTAAAACTTAATCTACATGAAACTCTAAAGAAAGAATATAGCTTCCTTAAAATATACTAAATAAATTATCAGTGTTCCATTTTAGAATTCAATCGTTACATTTATAAAGAACCAATAACTTCCAATTGTAACTTTTTTTTTTTTGAAATTTCACTTTGAAGGCTTATGCCACAGTGCCCATATAAAGCTTTAGTTACAATATTTACTGATGAGGAAAGCAATTGACTTTCAGCTGTGAGGTAATGCAATATTTGCTATATATAACTAAAGTCTGTATATAGAAGGCCAGAACTTTTATTTCATATAACTATATTTAAGAAACTGGGCTTAGCAGACAATTGAAATCTAAAAATCTCCCCCAACTGCTTATATCCCCCCACCATAAAACAACGACAAATCAAAACCTCACACAGGGAACACATAAGCCTCAAGGTCATTTCACTAGGCTTGTAAGAAATTTTAAATGCCGAATCATACTCCTTCCTTCCCCTAGAAGATCTGTAAATCCATCAAGGCATTTCTAATGAGCTCCCCACTGCAGTACATAAACATCGTCTGTACCCACAACTGAAACTGCCATCTTCGGGCTAAAACACAACAGTCTGTTTCTGCGTTATTTACTCTGTTTTAAACAAAACCTCCCTGCTACCTCTCCGTGAAAGACACTACCTCATGTGCAGCTACTACCAGAAAAAGAGTTCATCAAAGAACTGCAAAGATGTCTGCAGCGACTTCATACCAGTGCCATTAGTCATTTGTTTTTCTTTTTTTTAAGTAGTCTGATTCTCAGCAGCGCTGAACACTGCTTTCTGAAAGCCAGTCTGGTTTTGAGTTCTCCAGGTGGACTCACACCTCTCCGACAATCTTGGGGGTTTCACTGTAAAGCTTCTGCCCTGCATCTGCATTGGGACAAGCGGGTTGCAGCGCTACATGTGGAGACAGAAGCTGTACCTGTTAAGGATGTGCTTGGCAGCTGCTGTCACCACCTTAGTTGCTATCACCTCACTCACCTTCATATTACACGCTAATTCCATCAACTTTTTTGCATTTTCTTCTGAACGGTATCTCTTGGGTAGCTGTACACGGAAGAATTTTAAAGCCCCTTCAAAGTCAGTCAGTAACAAATCATCCTTGGTAGTCTAGGGACAAGGAAAGATAAAACAGTAATTGCAAAGCACATTTTGTACAATTCCTGAATTCCCAGAGACAATACAGCAACAGCAGTTTTGGAAAGCACCAAGAACGTAACTACTTCTTAACCTCCTGCAAATACTGTTTGTTTCTATTTCTGCAACCTTCTATTTTTCCCCACCACCCCACCCCTAAAAGCACTGTGCTCTGCAGGGCATGCCAGACAACGGCACATGGAATACAGGAAGTTTTTAGCTTTTCAAAAAAAAGCAAAATGTTTTTGTAACAGGAATCTTCAATTTTTACAGGGGGCAAAGTGATGCATAAACCACAGTGTTAACATTGTATACTCACTTTTAACAATCCCAGTGCAACATTAAAGATAACACTTATTCCCTGGAGAGAAAAAAAACAGCAAAATTAGTTAATTTATCCATATTTGCAAGCCCAGCTATTAATTTATTTGGTGCATTCTGTTGTTTATCTACTTTCTGTGAAAAGGAGAACCAGGATACGAGCGTAACGAGGTGCAGTATTAAATCCAAGGCCCAGAGAATGACTTTGCAAACCATCAGGGAAAGTATCTGTACTGGACAGACATTACAGATAGCAAAACAATGTTTCGACACAGGTTTCGCCACCTCCTTAGTAGTTTGCAACTCTTAAATGATGAGGATGCTGTTGTGTACTTTAATTTTTAATGACTAATTGGTCAAGTCAATTTAATTTTCATATGGCAACTTCTGAAAACACTGGATTCAAATGCAGCAATAATAGACATCAATATATTAACTTCTGGTACTAACAAAAATGGGATAATTCATATAATGGAAAAAAAGTGACTCACTTTAGGGTAGAGTCTTACATCATCTACTTTACCGCTCTTTTACTTATATTATCCAATTCAATACAAACAGTTCCTATTGTCAGGAGCAGTACCAGGCAGGGGCACTGCCTTTGACAATCAAGACACGTTGATCATCTTATTTCAAGATTCTGTCTTTAATTTTTCCTACTAAATTATTCTTTTATTAATACTTTAAAATGATAAAAACAAACCCCTTAAAACGTCACTATGAACACATTTACTATTTATGAATTGAAAATGTGTTTCTAAACAAACAGATCTGATTTTCTCGATGCCATCTGTTGCTTTCTATTACGTTGGCACATGGACAGAGCGAGCAGCAGACAGATACAGAGAGAGGGTAAAAACATCGACCAAGAGATCTGTGAATGCTGAAACCCTTTGGGAAAGGAACTGCAGACAAACTGCCACTTCACAGGAACAACTGCAGATCCACAGAACCGGTGCAAAAATGTTAGCCAGCGAGTACAAAAGCAAATCATCAAGTAACTCGGGAATGCTTCAGTACAAAAGCAATTTGCTCACTTCTGTTAATAAGCTCTGACTCAAATTACACCACTTACCAGCATGGTACCGAATACACTGCTCTAAACATGATTACACACCAAATCTCCATGTAAAGCATTTAGCTCTCTAAATATATGCTGCAAAGTATAAAGAGACTTCAAGTTTCCAGGAGAAAGAGCTCTAACTCGTTAGACTACCAGCATGAGAGTTAGCTGGGCAATTTTATAAGCAATGGCCTCCATGCAATAATATTCTAGAAACAAAATAAGTTATTATTGCATATAATACAATTTAACAATAGAGGAATCCACGTATTTGTAAATTAACTCACAGCCCATGAGCACTGTACAGAATCTCACACAGATTTAACAGTGTTACAAGAAAAAATCTCTTAAATAGATATTGACTCCTGGTTTATAATCTTTAAAATGCTGGGAATTTTTTCATTGCAGAAACTTAACACTATTACATAAAGATAATTATCACATGCCTAGCTCTGAAAGAACCAATGATAACAAGGACATGAATCAAGACAGCGAGAAACTGTCCGAAGTTGCTAGCAGGACAAGCCTCCAACGATCATACGTACCTCACATAAGAGTAAGTCAATAATATGGAAGACCATGTAGAGAGGGAATTTTGCAGTGAACAGGGTAAGAAACCACTGGGAAGCATACATGTGCGCTTCAAGGCTAATGTCCAGAAAGTGGTTATACAGATCAGGAATGTATTCCTAATAATAAAAAAACAACAAAAAAAACCCCATAAATACTGCAAGTCAATTTATAGCTTTTTGGAACTGTGGGTGAAACCCCAAAGTAACAGAACCACGTAGGGTAGAGTGACACTGAGTGCAGCAAGGAAGCTTCTGTACCCACCCACCCCTGATGCGACAGCTGCCAGACACGCTAAAGGACCTTCCAAGGAAGCTGAAGGTGTGGATGCTCGGAAGCACACTGCACCACGCGTATAATGAGTCCCGTCTCCGAGCTCTCACCTTAGCAGGAGACCCAGCCAGTGGACGTGCTGACACCATGAAGCCACTCTGTGGTGGGCCTGCCATGAGCTCAGACGTCACTGCTGCGCCAGGTCACGCGAGAGCCACTCCAACTGGCCAGGCACGTCTGCCTTCAAACCCACTGCACGCTGCCAGCGGCCTCAGGCTGGTCTCGAGCCAACATACTCTGCTCTTAAAAAGCCTCCAGTATGGACAGCCTTCACCCTGCCTCCTTACTAGGAGGTCCCAGACTCTGTTCCAACGTAGGATAAATGGCTGGGTTTGAACTGCGAGCTCCAATCCGTTCACTTCACTTGAGTTTGACCACTTACCTGCATGAGGCGCTCCAGCTGATAGAATTTGCAGTGCAAATCTTCAAAGTTTTGTTTGAAAAGTTCCCTGAGTCCATAATCAAACATGATTTTCACCAGAACACTGAAAGCTTGCTCCTCAGGCATCTGTGAGAGAGAAAAGTGTATTTATCACAGAGCCTTCACAATTGTCACATTGGTTCCATTCGCCCTTACTTCCCTTCTCCTCCTCTTTTCTTACAGAAAGGCTAAAATGTCACTAGGCTTTAAATCTGGCCCTACCCAGTTTTAAAGTAAACAAGAATATTAACACAGAAGACGAGGTCTAGTGTCGCAAATGACATTTCATGCTTATTCTGTGGAATAAACCACCTCTCAATCACTTGACAAAAAAATTTATCTTTCAGACAGCAAGACTAAAGCAGTTTCTTGGTGTTTTTGTTCCAAATCAGGATCTTACAAATTTGAACAGCCTAACCCTTGGACACTTATGTAACTAAGACAGAAACAGCATTGCTAGAGCATGTTAAACAGGATCTTTCCCTTATTCTTAATGATATATTTACCTTTTAAAATGACATTATTACATGTAATGTTTATTTATTAGATGGTGTGAATATGAGAAACCAGTAACTGCTAACAGAAGTTTCAGATATCACAGCTCTGCATTGGTTTGGGAAAGTTCAATATCCTTTTCTTGCCAAAAACTGAAGAAACCGAGAAGTTTCACATATCACAACTCTGCATTGGTTTGGGAAAGTTCGATATCCTTTTCTTGCCAAAAACTGAAGAAACCCTCATCAAAGCTCGTCAGTGTTAAGACATTTTTTCCCTGACATGAAAATTCAGTTTTCATATTTCCATAGTAAGGTCTTACTTCAGGTCAATCGCTTGTTCCTGTAAAGGACAGAACATCCATCTCAAATATTCTATTATTAATCTGCAGATGGAGTTTGTTAAAACTGAAAACTTTGCTGAGACGTTCCAAACTGGTAGTGAAGGACTTGCAGAAACTTAATTTCCTTTTCTGAAACATTTCTTTTAAATATTTATTTTCCTTAGCAGCCACACTCCAAAGGATGGCTTCAAAGAGAATCAAATAAAAAGAAACTTACTTGAAATTTAGCCTTTTTAAATACATACATTATTCCCAGAAGCAACAGCTATTGCTAAAGAAAGAACTCTAGAATAACACACGGTTCATTCTTGACAGTTGGTCTAATGCAATGGGTATTAAAAAAATGGATATATGAGAATGAAAAAGCTAAAGGAAGGCATGTATGTTTCAGTAAAAGCATTCAGTTCTTCTACCAGGAAGTATCACCCTTCTTGATCTGATTTAGTGTAGTAATAAAGAATTAATTGCTCCTCAAGTAAATATTTCAGATCACAAAGAACTAAGAGGTTGTTATCATTAATCATTTGGCTTTTGTTTCAAAAGAATGGAGTTTAAAATCTCTCTACATCCTCCACTGACTTTACACTATGGAAAATCCTCCACTGGAGATCAGACTTCCTCTTCCACTGAAAACCACCCTTAGTTCTCTGTGGCAGCACAATCACTAAAAACCAGCTGCGGAAAAAAAATTCAAAACGCTACTGGACTTAGGAAGTCTGCTCAGCTTCAACGACCCTTGCTTGCACAGAAACACTCACAAAAGGCAGACGTGACTTTAGAAAGGAATGGTCTATAAGTAAGTTGTACAGATTTCTAATCCTCTCATTCTCTTCCCAAACATGAAGCAAATTCTGCTTCTGACATACAGTTCCATAAACCTCTCTAGCTCCTGAACACACGAGCAATTAAAGGGTGTTACTCTGATGACATCAATTCTACCAACAACAATGAAGTTTTAAAAACAGGATAATTCGTTATCTTGTAAAGAAAAATGAAAATACTACTGTATCCCTCATTAATTTCTCAAACCGAGAAGCTCAAAGACTTACAATGCACGAGTCCACAGACGCAGCAGATTCTGAGACACTGAGACCTAAACCAACATCCCCTCAGTGTCACAGGAACACGGCTGTGTGTACAAGTGTGGCAATTACCATCCCTCTTTCTGACTGATTCCAGCAGAAGCGTTTTCTAAAAAGCTTAAATCTGACCTTGAAGCCCTTTAACGGAAACATTTACAGTGTTGTCATACACCCAAATGCCAGGCCTACTAGTGATCACGAGCACAAGCCTGCAGAGTTTTGAGTGGAAGGGGTCCTGAAGCAGAACCCCAGTGAAATGAATGCTGACCAGGGACGAGTCATTATGAAGACCATAGTTAGTTTTAAACAATGTGCTTGGTCTAAAATCATGTTATTATTGACCAACACATAAGTGGGTACGTGACCTGAAACCCTACTAGCTTAGGAGTTACCAACTTGTTGCTCAAGGCAAGTGGAGTAATATTTATTCTTAAGCTTAAAACAAACGGGGAAAAACCCCACCACTTACATGTAGAAGCAGCACAGCAGCAAGAAATGACTGGCCTTGACAGTAGCCAATCTCTTCGTCGTAGACAGAGTAGGCCTAAAAAAAGAACCAAGACTTCACAGCTACAAACACAAAGTAAGGAATTAGCCCTCATCTCCATCACAGCATTTAGTTTGTCCAGCTTGATCCAGGCCGACAGGTCTGGAATCACGGGAACAACCTGTCCCAAGGCCCTGAGCCTCAAGGATTGCAGAAGGGCTGATTTAGGAGCGGCACTACAACCAGCTGAACATCTGCAGGGAGGAACCAGACTGAGCCTAGTGCCAAAGCCTGCCTCCACGACACAGTTAACAGTAACACATACACATTCTTCTCAGGTAACTGTTACATATGTTAATGATGTTCAAGACAAGTTACCAAAGTCAGTCCAAAAGAATTTAAAGAATACCTTGCATATTTTGTACAGAGAGTCCTGGCCATCTCCCCCAGTATCTTTAAAGTAATCATGAGCAGGGAACGTTCGATTGATGTCTCGGGTGATAGCACTGTCTTGTGGAGACTCCTATTAAAAAAATATAAATGAATGTAAATTAAAACACATAAAAAGAATATAAGTAACAACACAGTAGGACTGAGCGTTAGGAGACTGGCACTGTGTTCTGTATGCACTGTTCTAAACTTAACAAAACACAGTCTACTCAACCAGAACAGGCTGCCTGCAGGCTGGCAGCTCCAGATCACAATCTTGATAGATGTGGTTACCTAAGCACATCTGGGAACGGTCAGCGAGTGGCAGAAAACACACACGCACAGAAGTGTCCGAGCACGCTGCAATGCAGAGAGCAGCCCTCCCGCGGAGCCTTCGGACCACGAGTACCGCCCAGCCCCAGTTCTTTGGTCTCACAACTGCGGTGAGTAGCAGGCAACTGTAAGCAGCTGCAGTCCAAAATTCTGCCCCTTAGGTCCAGCTAGAGATAACACTCCCCATTCCTCCCCCAGAACTAGACAACAGCGAAGGAGAACACCAAGTATGAGCCCAAGAAAGAGAGCAAAACACTACAGAACGTAGGGACGGTGGCCTGCATGAGCCAGGAGATGAAATTTGGTTCTCTACGCCGCTCTGATGCAATCAGTTTCAGATGCCTTAGACATTTGGAAAGCTGAACAATAACAAATAGCATAAAATTAAAATCAGTAAACATGAACAATGGGCTGCAAAGACCACTTGGAAGAAACACCAAAGGAAGTCTGCATCAAGGGCGAGTCCTACGCAACGGGAGTGAAAACTCCTGGTAGAGATGAAAGGAATTTGACAAAGCGTAACAACTAAATACGGCGAATAACAAAAGGGAATCTTTTCCTCCCAAGTTTTAACGGAGTTTTTTAAACACCAAACAGTCTTCAAGAAAATACTTGGCAATACTGGCCTAAAACAGCCCACCCAATTAGGAGCCAACAGTATTGCTGGGGTGGCTTCAAAGGAATCCCAGGGTCATGCTGTAGAACTACCCGGAAAAAAGGAGTTTCCAGAATATGGAAGGAAGAGGTTTGTGTCAGGAACATCACAAGAAACCATAAGCATTTGTGAACAATGTCCAGCTTAGCCTAATTTACCCTCTAGATGTAAAAATACATGATGTAATGAGCGTGAAGATCATTAAATACAACTTCTGGTTGGTCTTTTTCTTCGCACAACAATTTTGCAAACAATAAGAACAAAATTACCACATGTGCATGATATCCTTTGGATTTTAATCCAAGGTTAATGCTCCTCTCTGTGGCTTAATACAGACATTTCATCAGAAGAGCATTATGCTGCTATTAGAATCAAGTTACTGGATTGTTTTGGAAATTATATAAAAATTACTGTTCAGCATTTCAACTTGATAATAATTAAGACACCAAAGAGTCCGTCTCATTAGAAGGAAACTAGAAACAAAATCCAATGCTAAATAAATTCCATATAAATAGAAGCTGTTCAAGCCAACAAAGACAAGTAGAGCCATTAGCTTCATCTCCTTTTGCAAGTAGAGGAAGACAATGCTCAGAAACAATTCTACAAACTCTAAAACATGTGATAACTTTCAGTTTCTTAAAAGTTTGCAAGACTGAATTACAGTGAGGTCCTCTGCTCGGCAGGAGCACAGGTACTGCTCGGCGCCCACAGCAATCTCTGGTACCAGACACGTGGGTTTACCCGAGTTCTGCGGCAATGGCAAAATAACCTTAAATCCACTTGTCTTTTAATCCACTTACTCAACAGCAGAGACCAAAGCATCTGGCTGGAAACTCTTAGGATAGGCTTCTCAAACAAATCGCTCATTATGGCTAAAGGGAACTAATTAGTGGTCTCTCTCTGGCTTTGCGTGACTTGTTCAGCACTTGACTCCTGCGTTTCAGTACAATTCTTCAAGTAATCTGTAACGCTAGTTCCTGCAGCTGAAACATAGCTTGGGGAGAGAAAAATCAACGGAAATGATAAGGTTTAAGAAATGTTTTTCAAACCATGACTTTGAAATCTCCCCATTAGTACAAACTGCTGCAATCCAAGCATTGTGTAACCTTTTCTTTACTCCTATTTTTATACCTTGCTGTGAGAATTGGCTCAATGGGCAATTTCTCATGCTTTCAGGGGACTGGGAACTGAAGGAAACCCTTCTGAACCCACACCCTTCACAAACTGGGATTGAAAAAATAGAAAGCTAAGAATGACAGGAAGAAAAAGAAAGTAATAAAGAAAACAGAATGGAAAACAGCCATGAGAACTGAGGCAAGTGTACTGAAGATTAAAATTCTCACAACAGTTCACTGCTCTGAAGGAAAGCAGGAAAATGTAGATGCTCAGACTAAGAACATACTCTTCCTCTTTTATGTACTTTAAAGTATTAGGGGAGTTATACTGAAACCTTCCTCCCTAGTTGATTTAAAAAGAAACTATGTGAGTAATTATGGAAACCAGGACACAGTCCAGCAGATGAGAGCTCATCTATTTCATCAGTCTGTGTATAAAAGCATATTGGTTCCTACCTCCTCAACTGGACACACTTAAAAGACATTTTCCTAGTATTTTCATGATCTTCCAGGGACCATCCCAGGATCTGCAAACCATATAATAATGCAGTTATGGTGTCAATCAACACCTTCCCACTGAGATTGTGTTAGAATGTTCCTCTGTATCCTAAGCCACCATTAAAAGACATGGAAGAGCTGGAGTTCCTAGAGTCTCCTCATGGAGCTGATCGACTTGTGGTTCTCAGCAGCTCAGGTTTATTCCTCCTAATCCCCTACATAAACCCAAGAGGATGAGGAAGCAGCAGCAACGAACTGCTGAAGGGACAAGATCTGTGATTTTTAAAAACTGAAATAAGAAATCTCCAGAGAAGCAGAGGGAATATCCTGCTGGAAATGGCTTTTGACCCAAAGATCATAAAACATAAAGCCTTTATCTAGACACAGGTTGACTTCAAAGCCAACACGAAAATGCAAAAATAGTGAGGTCCAAACATTATATTCCTCCTTGCCCTCACCCCTAGAATGATTCACAACACAGGGGTGAGCTGTTTGACAATTCACCACAGAATCCCAACTCCACCCAAGTCTCACTCTTGCCACAATGGGATCGATTTTCACATTGCAATTTTTTCTTGAGAAGGTCCCACAAGGATTTTGTCAGCCGGTCAGAGATGACTGTGAGAAGGGTCTAGTGGTTCAGCTGACCAGTGGAACTTTAGCTGCTTTGCCCCGGGTCAGATGAGCACGTGGCGTGTTGCTGCAAGGCACAGAGCAGCCATGCAAGACAGCACCAAGCCAGCCGAGAACCTCCAGCAGTTGCGACAAGCGGAAAAAACTAAAACTCTCTGCGATTTTCATGGGCAGCAATAAGGGTAATATTACAGGATGGGGCTAAGTTACTTTGAGCACATCTGCACATTTTAAGTACATCTGAAAATATTAAAAGGTCTTTTGATAGCTATTTTCAATGTTAGAAAGATAATATTTACACTCACTTTGACACAGGGTGCATTTCCTGCATTTGTCCTTGAGCAAACCACTGTGAGAAGGTTTCGGTACGAGGAATTACACCTGTTACTGAGATCTTAAGGAAGTAACACAAAACCCACTTTCAAAGCAAGGTGCTTGTTGAGTTCTCCCAAGAAATGCTGCCTGGGGAATGCAAGCATTACCTGGAGCCAGTGCTTACCGAGAACATTCACAAATAAATAGCATTTGTGGAAAAAACCTGCGTAACTTTGACAAATTCGGAACGGTTAGACAGCTGCAATTTGATACAATAGTGCATTGATACAGCATACTTTCAGTCCAAATATGGCAATATAGTGCAATTCTAAAAATAAAAGTGAATCCCTTGTGATATGCAGCCCTTTTGCTGTGTTCGTTTCCTTTTAGGGCTCAAGTTTCCCACAGGAAAATCATAGAGAGGAGTTTGCCTACAGTGCCCTACAACATGTATGGGTAAAGCATAAACACAAAGCGCACGCTGGAAGGTTTTCCTGCTCTCGGCAATTACGTCCAAGCCAGGCTATTTAAAGCAATGCCGATAAGAGGGAGAAACCCCACCCGCTCCCAAGAGAGCACACCTTTGCCAGCACACCGACACAGAAGTCATCCGAGACAAGACGTGAAAACATGTGACGTATCATTTATTTCTTAAATGTATTTATGATCCATTCAGACCTTTCAAATAAAGTGTACAAGTGCATTTCAGAATAAAAAACTACACTCTTCACACAGCTCTGTAGAACACTACATTTCATCAAGGAACTTGAAGCAAAAACTTCCTATTAAACCACCCATGCATCCTTTGGCTACAATAATATCACTGATCAACAAGTACTGCTATTCAATGCTGAGTTTCCCTTTAAAGAGAAGGAGCATCCTAAAATACGCTACCCCTTCCAGAGACCTCCCTTTAAAGAGAGAATATTAAATAAATTAGCTAGGCTTTTAGGCAAAACAGTAAGGCTACTTAGTACTGTTGATGCATGATCCATATATTTGGAGAACAGGCAATCCTAGGCTATGTGAAATGCGTCAACAGCCCTTGGAATTTTAGTATCAAGATTACATCGATCCAGAACAAATGACAGACAGAAACCAGTGGGACAATCACTGAAAAAATGTGCAGTTTTCTCGTAGGATGGGAAGTGCCAATAACAGATTCAGAAAAGTGTTTATAAAATTCGCTAAGAACCACACCGACATTCTTAAAATTACAAAGCCCTAAACTGTGTGGCTGTACAACTGCTGCTGTCTTAAACTCCTTGCTTTAAAATACATATACACATATATATGTGAAATACACAGGTGTATGTATTTTAGAACAATCTGTTTAACATGATACTAATTGTACAGTCACGCGGTACACACAGATATCTATATACATGTATGTACATCTACAGCGAAAAGGAAACAAGCCAAGAGATGTGTGACACAGCTGGGGTACAGATCATCGCAAAGGGAATAATACATTTCTTTGAGTTTTAATAGCTTATAGCAAAATTACCTCCTGGAAATAATTATGCAAAGATTTTGAATCAGATA